GGCAGTGTCAGCTCCCAGTGGATTTAGCTCAGGGCCAGGGTCTAGGAACAACACTGAAGCATGACGTGATGCCAAAATCACGGCTTTTTCCTCATCATTTTCGGGAACCAAGGCCGTATTTGACGAGAGTCGGAAAGACACGAGAAGTTTTGATTTGGTGCCTGAGAGAAGTATACGGCCGCTTCAATGTATGTACTGAATTTCCTGCAGGGCTTTGCAGAAACACAGTCCTCTTTCATTTCTTCAGTTTGGTTGGTAGTTGGTGAGTTGTCACTCTTCATATCCCAGGCCTGTTCCACGCTCCCTGGATGAGGCTTTATTCCAATGCTGCTGGCCCCTCTGCAGGTCTGGATTAAACCACGGTGGGCTCCTGGCATGGGTTCCGTGGTGGTGGGGTCGAGGGAATTCCTGTTCGAGGTGATGGATCCCATAACAAAACAAATCCCAGAATTCGTCAACATTCTCAAAGTTATGGGAATCCCAAGTCGTGCGCGCTGCAGCTTGACGCACCTCCTCGGAAAGGATGAACGCGACACATTTTGCCCGTCTTGCGGTACACCACACCACCAGTGTATTAGCAAAATGGGGAGATCACTAAATGGAATCAATGAGAGGACGTCAATCTTGATCGCATTCGAATTTCTTGATCAGAACACAAAGTCATAGATAGATTTCTGTTGGTCAACTATCCGTGTGGGTTCACAGATACGCTGAACTAGTGAGAGAGCGTGTACAAAGAAATGAGACTATCTGGAAAACAAATCCGCTCACTGAAGGCAGGTGTCAGTTCCTCAGTGAACACGTAGCACACGGAACCCACAAGAACAAGACAGGCTCATCCAAGCTGTGGCTTTTCATGCTAGCCAACAGCTTTGGAACATACGCAGCCGCGGTGAGGTAGATCACTCCTGCTGTGGTGTATTCTGCAGCACAAAGCTTCAATTCGTACCACAATGCCTCTCCAATCCGGAATGAGCGTAGGTCTCCGGCAATCGGATGCAGATTCTCAGACGGACGAAACGCATAACCCCGCCACTGTGGTGTGAAAATTATCACTTCATTCAGTACAAGGTGTAGCTATCAAGTCATATTTGAGAATTCCTGACATCCACTGTCAGTGAAGTCTCAGTAATGGTCAAGATATCAGGTTCGTTTCATGTAAAACTATCTTAGATCTCACCCATTTTACCTAGTGGACCTCAGAAATTGGTCAAGAATAGCATAGCGTGGTTACCACGTCATCCATGCCTCATCTTGATCTTTTCCTCGATGGTTAAACAGCTTCATGCGTCCATTCTGCGGTCAAATTCAGTCGAGGGCGCTTCCGATGTACCCGATCGCGTATGCAAAGCTCGGTCTCATAAAACGCATGGCGCTCTCGGCGTTCCTTCAATTCAGTTTTCAGTTTACTGAGCTTATCCGGATCGAGATACTGAGGGAACCTTACCGGGGCTTCCTTCAGTTGGTAGGTTTGCTACAGTATCGCTCTGGCATCATCCTCTGCCCAAAGAATCACCTTCAGAAATCTCGGAGAGTTATCCTGACAATATGTTTTAATCCTGAAAGCCACCCCACCCGGATTACTACTTTTATTTCCATCTAGTCCTTTGTGTTACCGTACGTCACCGCAGCAACTGCAGGTCACGGTACGATCGAGCCGTGATGGCCCCAGACTTCGTAGGTTAACTATAGTGACGCGCTGTGATGGCAATGGATCCGTTCTCTACTGCACAAACCCTTGGGAAACCCGGAGGCACTTCTCAGTCGGCCAGAACAAGTTACAGATATGCTACCTTGGTGCCACAGAAGTCAAGCAAGTCAAGTCCGTTTGTGGGAGCGGTTCAACAGTTGATAACAAGGGTCTTTTCTTCAGGTGTTGCTGCCGCGGTGCGGTTTCAGCAGCTGCTTACGCCAATGGAGCTGTGGCGGTAATGTCAGGGTGCGAAAAGGCAGTTGTAACTAGCGGAGCCGGTGTTCTGCGGGCTAGATCACTGACCACTGTTAAAGTATAGCTGATGAAGAGATAATGGAGCGATCAAGCACCTGCATCACACAATCTTCAAGAATACAGAAAGGCATTCTGCAAGCCAGTGACACTTGTACGAATCGATGTGGGAGCACTTTAAACGTAATCACCCATCAAAATCATTATCACGGAGCTCTTTGGCCTTGGGGCCCACAAGGTTGGAGCAGGCCATACACGTGCTCTTACCCGCTAAGCTTTTCTAATACATTGCGAATAAAATGGATCCGGTGAGGATGCACAAATATCACCATATTATAGTCCGAATATGTACAGGAGAGGAACCCGATGTAGTGCAGTTAAGTAAATCTGCCTTCTAAAGCGATTTTTGTGCTAACTGCCAGTCTGCGTTTAACACATTTTGAGAATTCACAATCGACACTTTTGTTTAACCAAAGCTGGACACGTAAGGCAGTGAGGGGCGAGAGATTGAAAACTTCAGTGCATTAGGGATTGGATTAGTGTCTATTTCATCAGATCACATGACTTTGGACGAATTCAGAAGTCTAAAATGTGCACACCATACACTTCGATATCCGATCATGACACTATCACAATCAGGAAGTTGTGTTTGTGGTTCTAACGCTTCTTCTTTCCGGTTTCGAATCAGGAAATTTAACCCCTAAGTGAACTGCCGAGTGTTTTCCCCTTAATGTTTGTTGGCTTTGCAATTTTCCTTCTGCATGAAAACACTCATGTCACGTGAAGAAAGTCAGTCAGACTTCCTCAGCAGGGGCGCATGGTCTTATTGGAGCATTTTGCCAGGCGCAAGTGTGGAGTGTTCAGTTAAAACCTCAGACACCGTCCCTTGACGTGAATGAGGCTTTTGGAGGCCCACAATCTTCATCATTCACAATCTGGTCTTCTTCAGTGTAGATGACTAGTCCGCCTAGTGATGACCGCTGAGAACAGTACGCTGGATCGCAGCTTCATACGTTTTAACCTATTTTCGTTCAACATGTTGCCATTACGATTGATTCAACTCAGTCTCTCTCTCTTTCTATGGATGATTCGATTCGGTAAATCACATTGAATCAATAAAAAGTCCTAAAATCTCTATCTTTCGGTTGCCTCCTGTACGTAACAGTCTCCAACTCAAGAGGGCATAATAGACGCGTATCAACATAACTCCACCGCGTCAGGTCCGTGATTTAGCACTGATCCTCTTGGGCTAAAAAGAAGTATTGTTCAATACACTGTTCGAAAAATGCCACAAGCGCCATAGGAAATTATCCGGGAATATCCCGGAAGCAAAAATACTTGGTTGATCGGTTCTCAATTTTCTCACTTTCATTGAAATTATCTTTCTGTTTCGCTTAGAAAATGTCTTTGTTAAAATGAATAAATTACTTCCTCATGTTTTTTCTGTTACTTACCGACCGGTATCGCACGGGACTGTGTGTTGTATACACACATGCATATATATTGGTAACGTAGACCACAGTTGTCTCGCTGACCTCTGGTTGTCTGTCTAGTATAGAACAAAATGCATCTTATTATTATTATTATTATTATTATTATTATCATTCTTCGACCATCTGATAGAATTAATCCAGTTCATTTGTGCAACCTAGCAAATCAAAGGAATGTAAACCTGTGATCTTGATCGATAAGGAACAAACAGATTGCCACCATGTTCAAAAAACACACTGTGGCTATTTGGGGAGTTCCGCTTCCAAGACAAATCGTGTCTCATGTGGCTGGGTGGATGTAAACCATATTCTCAATCGTAAAGTCTAGCAAAAACATGACAGAGATTTATACGTCTGTCAAACTACCTTGATATCTTTCATCATCATCTGGGCTTCACGAAGTCGTGCATCGTCACACCTCGATGTGTCACGTCAGTTTTCGGGTCGAGCTTTGAGTGCCCCCGGTTCAGAGAGTTTGGTGGTGCGTTCGTCACAAGCACAAGAAAACACGTTGATTGGAATGGGTCAAAAGTGTGATTTACTATTCCACAATCCATAATAATACCATGATATCCGGTATTGGTTGTACAAACTGAAAATCTGAACTGAAACCATGCTCATACGTGCTATGGCTTTGGTCGTTGACTCTAGGTTGCCCATTTGAATGAATGAAGACTTGAATGCTCAAATCTCTGTCCGGGTAAAAAAAATAGGGAATTCTCGAAAGCCATGGTTGCAAGAAAATCAGTAGATGCATAAATGTCACTGTTTACGACACTCAATCATATCATTTCTTAAGTTTTGAGCATCTCGGAGGTCAGGCGGTATCAAAGATTGTATCCACCAAATCGATAATGAAAGACCCCTTTACCAGTTTCTTTATATCAGACTTCGAGATAGCCAATCAGTTGTTCATTCACCTGGTATAGAACCTCAGTCATTTCTCACAAACAGAACGTAAATTTTATGTAAAAATCTGCAACTAACGGATAAACCAGAGATGTAAAAATGTCAATTGGAGAACTTTATGTTACCGGTCAAAAGTTTCAGTAGCGCTCTTTGTTGAATAACTTTTGAGAGGAAGTTTAGCGAGGCATAATGCGTAACGCGGTGATCATCAGACAAAGTCGCTGCATCTTCGAGGATAAGAGTTATGTGAATATTTTAATTGATATTAAACACCGAATGGCAGAAGTTGGTAGTCTCGTGCCGACCTTGACATGATGAGAGTTTCAAATAAATATTAGTCCAATAGACATGTGGCTAGCGCTACGCATCGATGGATTCATTGATTGATTGATCAATCAGTTAGCGAGAGCTGGTCGGTTGAACTAAGCACGTAGGGCTATCNCGTGCTCATCTGAACAGCACTCACAAAACATACATCCCTGACCGGACACCAACAACTCCGATGGGGAGATGCAAAAGCCCAGACTAGAGGTTGGCTGCTGTTCCACATCGCTATTCTATGAGTTTATGCACACACATTCCGAGACTACGCTGATAACGATTCAAAATTATTATTCAACTATTCCGTGCTAGGCTACCCAATTCAGCACATTCCGATGGATGATGAAAAAAGACCCGAACTGATCCTGGCTTGGATCCCAGTCGATAAATCCAGGGTGCCACCAGCTTTTGCCATCCCGTTTGATTCCGATACCTACCTGATTCGGGTTCGAGATCGGAATACCGTGATTCCCGGCCAATGGTTAAGAAATAAACAATGCTCCGAAGTCATGTGTTGCGGTCTCGAAGATGTGCCGTTCAGTTTTGAGGTGTTGTGTGATACACGAATGGACCCCATGGATGATCGGTAAGTTAAGTTTCTTCACACGGAACAAAAAAGTGCTTTACATGTTAACGTATTTTGGCCACTACGGAAACAGGTGTTCGAACACCACTGTCTACGTTTCATTGGAAAGTCTGGGGGAGTAACCGCATTCGCAATGATGAGGTTAGGCGTAGAGTTTTAGGCAGTGGAGGTCGTTCACTGGAACACGTGATCGGTTACCATAGAGTACGTTGGTTGGGGCATGTTACGCATGTCACCACGGCGAGCAATGTTTGCCGAGACAGGTAGCGGTTGGAAAAAGGTCAAGAGTGGTCCAACGAACACCTGGCATGAGGGTATGAAAATCCTAACTAGGAGACTAGGTTACATAGGCCCCGGTAGACTCCCTGGCTGGATCGTAAGCGATGGTTAGAGACACTGAGTGATATGCCTGGGTGTCGCAAACAGTGGCGCTCGTGCATCCACTCATTATTCCCTTAACACCATTCTATATGAATTGTCTATCTTCCGCTTGAATTTGCTTTCTACGTTGTAATCTTCATTCTGCTCTTTTATCCGAATGGGCGACTAGAAGACAGCAACCAAAACGGGTGCACGAATATGTATGGTTAAAGGTTACAAAATCTGAACTGAACTGAACGTATGTTGTTCGGGCTCATTGAATTATGATGAGATTCGAACCCCGCGCATGAACAACGCCTGCACTTTCCTGCAGCGTACACACTTTTCGCTGACCTAGGAACAGTCCACACGTGGCGCACTGATCTCGTCAAATTTGGATCACTCGTCGAAATCGAACCGGCGCACAATATGTCAGTTTGATAAACAAAATAAATTAAACAACTACACCACCACCAATCTTTGAAGTTTTGTCCAACGATTCCGATGGATTTTGAGGAACGCCTGTCATGGTAGTGGTCAGCTTGCATGCTACCGGGATGGATGGACGATTTGAGAACCTGTGAGAAGCTCATTGTTATCGCTGTGGTCTCGAGTAATTCAACCAGTATAGGATGCGCAAACATTGTCAAACAAGCATGGGCTGGGGTCCCATCTAGGCTACTGAGACTTACATTTGTCAATTCACACTCACATTGTGTGTGAAAACGAAAGTGGTTAGCTCAAAATAGCCCATAATTCAGCCTTCACCGCCGCTGAACCCCCCACCTCCATTGTTCAAAGGAAAACGGAGATTCCGCGGCTGATGTGAATCGTATCAACCCTTCCAGTTCTTTTCGGACTGGGGTTGCCAAGACCACACAGCGGATCCGATTCCAAACCCAGATCACAAAATGCAGATCTAATCAAAACTGAAGCAACGAGTCCCTCTGAAACACTTGAGGCTTCGTATAGGCAAAATTATTTATACTGAACGAAATATTTTTCCACGGGTTTATGTGAATCACTGGAGTTGCTCCTATTAAAATATATTGCATTTTCATACTTGGTAAAGTTTGCGATTTTAATGATGAGATTATTTTAACTTGGCAACCATGGTCGAGCACGTCTAGCTGACAATCATGCAGCCTAGAAACTACGTAGATTAAAAAGAATAAGAGATAATATATCGTCCATACGTAAAGCGTTAATATAGGTGATGAATGTAATGAAACTGAAGTTAGTCAGAAAGAAAGTATTTCAGTTCATCAAAATCGGTCAGTATTGTATATCCTCAAGTGATTCACTTTTTACAGCCTTTACCTCTGCACTTTCGTGGGCCGGTTTCAGCTGCTGTCTTTCGGACACCCATTTGAA